TGAGAGAGAGAGAGAGAGAGAGAGAGAGAGAGAGAGAGAGAGAGAGAGAGAGAGAGATGGGGATAAAGAGACAGGTATAGAGAGACAAAACCAGCATTCTTTTTATGCGATTGCTACCATCCATAATGTTGAAATTACTAAGGGGCTCTCGTAGCCTAGAGCTTAAGGTGTTCGTCTCGAATTCAAAGGTCCCGGTTTCGAATCCGGGTAGCGACGGAAAAAATTCTTCTCTAAAATTGTCTCCTTTCACATCCTTTCCTGCTATACAGCAGTATTCTGTCCTCTGCTTTCTCCCCCAATTTTTACCCCTACCCATCACCTCTTTTGCCCCCACTTCTTGGCTCCTGGCTCTTTCTGCAACCTGTCTACTGCTACACCTAGTCTTCTCGGACAAGGGCGAAAAATCTCGAAGGTCCCGTGTGCAAGTTGCGCTCGTTAAAGTAATAGAGATCCCTTGGTGGTCTAAAATCGATAAGAGTAGGGTTTGGCCGCCACCCGGGCAAAGTTCGAAATTTCCTACCAACTGAAAATTGTTAATGTGTCCCGCACATATGACCTTAGGCAGTTTCAAGCGCGTAAAGCACTAACAAAACAACAACAAAAAAATTAATTAAAATTTTCTTTCACAAAGTATCGAAGAAGACTTCAGCGTAAAGGATTATTCGAGTATTTACGTCTGTCGAGCACATGAGATCGATACTACCCTGCCTGCTCTCCGATACCGGTGTGCGCGCGTGCGAGTCCGATTGGCCATGTTCCCCCCTCTCTCAACCAGCAAGGCCTAGGCCTACAAGCTACAGCAGCTACAACACACACACACGCACACACGCACACACACGCTCTATCTTCCCGTTACTCCACCACGCCAGTCGGCTGGAGAACCAACCACCTCGCTGCCTCGCCGGCTTTACCACCACCATTCTTCTCTGGGATTATTGCCATCAATATTATTATTATCATTATTTAATATTATCACTGCTGTTGTTCTTATCGCTAAATGCCGTGGAGGTTGTGAGCGCCATTGGTATTGATTCCTTGTGAGTAAAGTGCTGGGATTTAGTGAGACGATTCTTGTTTTTCTCGACGACAACAACAGCAACGACAACGACAAGGCAAGGCCGGAGCGTGAGTGAAGGTGACGGACAAACGCTGAACACCGAACGATGACGGAGAGAGAATGTGAGTAGATTCTTCTCGCTGGATTACCATCTTGTCTTGGTATATCTAGATATCTAGATCTATATTCTAGATCTCTACATAGAATCTATCTGGATATCTAGATTCTAGATTAGATCGAGAATCTTACGTGAGATATATGCCTATCCTAGATGTTGCCCTCGCCATGATGCGCTCAGAAACTTGCCCCCTTCTTAGTTACAGTTAAGAATGTCGGGATTTTGTCTAGATCTAGATCTAGATCTAGATATCTATATCTAGAGTCTAGATCTATTCTAGATCTAGTCTAGAATCTAGAATAAAGGTCTAGGCTAATCATCTCGCTTCTCCTCCTGTTAGACTAGATATCTAGATCTAGATTCTAGATTAGTTGTTGGCCGGATTTAATTTTGGAGGACCCATCATGCTTTTGTATCATGATCAATGTACACTCGTTATATGATAACGGTAGGGGGTTTCAGG